GCTTATGCATGTGCTCAATTTTACACACAGCAAATAACTCACTCATGTTAATGAGACAATTCACTGTACAGATAGTTAAGCATGTACGTAAGTGTTTACAGGAAAAAGGACCACATATGTAGGCTGTTTTATAACAATTACCTTCAGTGCCATTTGCAATCCAATCCATTTCTTATACTCATCAGGTTGAAGCAGAAATTCAGGCATAACATGAGGAAGGCATGCTCCTTGGCTTCTGAAATAATATAGAAATACAAATAAGCAGATTGGAAAGATCTTTTCCAAGACTGTCCCTAATTTCACACCCACAGTTTTTTACAGGTTATGTAACTGTAGGTGAAAACCCACAGCTACAATCAACTTACGGCACAAACAACAGAATGCAGACGTCTGACCAAGTACATGGCTGAACATACAAGTCAGATGTTCAGATTTTGAACTATCATTTGCTAAATCAGTACTAAATCAGAGTGGGGTTGAGACCTAAGAAACATTGCTAGTTTTGAAATCTCCCGTTTTTGGAAAAATGGCCAAGGAGCCTGAGAAGACTTTTTTTCAATAGGCTTTGTATAACAGGTTTTTTAGTTCCTATGAAAGGAGATTACTTACTTGAACAGTAATGGATGTTCTTCAGGATGTGTAGTCTGTATACATATTCTACAGCTGCTGAGTGCACATCCATTGCACACACATCAGAGAACCTTCTGGTCAGCAATATCCACCAGAGCAATGTATGTGCCCTTCCTCTCTATATGTATTCCAATGAGCATATAAATAGTGGAGCCTCCTTGTCACAACACAGCTCCTTGAACATTATGAGAACTTGTGATATCAAGACTCAGAAGTAGCAGGGCTGGAGAGTAGGTTGTGGAATATGGATAAGGCCTACACATCTCAAAGACCATCAGTTACTGTAAAGATAAGTAATCTCTTTTTCTTCTCCCAATTTTCACAGTTGGTGATTCCCAAACTCTCAGTGGAAATGAATACGAGGAATGTCTGTGAGTACGGACGGCAGCACAGACCTTCCAGATCTAGCATCACGCTTGGTTGCTTGCACCAATGCATAGTGCTTCAGAAACATCTGTATGCATGACCAAGTTCCTACACTGCAAATGTCTTAGATTAGCAGATTTAGAAAGGCTACCGAAGTAAACTGAGCCATGGTGGAGTGGATTATCACCTTGGTTGGTAACTGCTCCCATAGCCAACAGCATGTCTTGACATATTGGATGATCTAGTTCTATAGCATTTGTATAGACACAGCCTGTCCCTTGACTGTCTATATATAATGATGAAGTCCTATCAAAGCAGAACAATCCAGCTCTGCACATCTCCAGTATGCTCAAATTCTGCTCCGCTCCCCCAGCATGAGGCATTAAGAAGGATACAGATAGATGGATGATCTCAATGACATGGAATTTAGATGCCACCTGAGAAAGAAATCTGGCAGGTATTCTTATGGATACTCTGTCCTTTTAGATGACTGCATAGGTTGGTTCATCTTTAATGGTTACAGCTCCCCAGCTCTCCTGGTCAGTGTGAACACCATGAGAAAGGCAATGTATCTGAAGAGATTGGACAGGGAGCAAATAGCCATGGGTTCAAAGGGAGTCCTCATCAGTTTTGAGAGGACATGGTTAAGATCCCATGTTGGGGCACCCACCACTGCTATATTTACCTGAACTGCCACAGCGATCATAGCTCCTGTTGGCCAGAGGCTAACTGCCATGTTATTGCCCACCACTGTCCTAGAGGCTGGGTATAAATACCCAAAGATCTGAAGGTAGCCCTAGAGTCCTTGAGGAATTTCATTGGCTCATCAGTCTTGCTCTGCAACAGTGAGCAGACCATGAACAGCTGGTCCTCTATAGTTGTTTGTAATTCCTTAGGTATACATGCCATGTTCAGCTACACAAAACAGCACATCATGATCTCTGAAGCCATTGCCTTGTGTCTGCCACATCCAGGGCAGCTACACCACAGTTCTGGCCAGAAAATATCCATCAGCTGGGATAGTCTGGAAATCAACCCTATGTTCTTGCAGCAGCTTGTCAACGAGTTACTGTATGGCTCACTAGTTTATGTGGCCATATTTTGCCCAGATAGCATGGTAGTTCAAGATCCTCTTTTAGAGGCTTAAGATGGAGTAAGAGTTTTGGCCCATCAGTAGAAAGACTTCGCTTCCCTATCCTTAGGCATTGATTTCTGGTGTCCTTGGAGAGTTCTTTCATTGGCCACTATTAGGGATTATGTGTGAATTGAACTTTTCATATCCAGTAACCAGGACCTAATGCTATCCATCTGCTCACTTTGATGCTGGCATTTGCTATACGGATTTTGCATACTCCAACAGTCCTTTACTGATTGTGTTGATAATAAATAATTCATGATCAGCAATTTGTCAATAATCTATAGCCAATAATCAACAAGAATTTTAATTGATATTATATATTTCATGAGTTAGGGACTCTCAAGTTTCTCTTTTGTTTAATAATGCCAGACCCTGGACAAGTCAGGTTTGATTAGATTTAAACAAAGCAGCATATACACAGAAGCCTATGACTACCAACTGCTGTGAAAGATACTCCTTGCAGTTTCTGACACCCTATGTTCACTCTGCTAACGGTCTCATTTCCTCTATGATTTAGGAGTAACTGTACCCTTTTTGCCCTTATCATATCTCATTCTGGTCCTTATCTATTTTCTCTTCCTGGCATGTACCTCTCCTTTTCTAATTTTCAAGCCTCCTTACTCCATTGCAACTTCCCAACTGTCTCAACACCTGGTTAGTCAGTATTTATACCCTGTTGGAGATAATTTCATCTGTTATACATTTTGCAGTTAGTGCACTGTGAAAATATATTTTTCAAACAACTTTCAAAATAGATGAAGTATAACAACACAGTAAAATTCCATTCTTTGTTAGCTCTATTTCCCTTAACTGCAAAATATAATAGGAGTCTTGCTCCCAAGACAGCTTTCTAATCTTTCTTGGCTTATGTTAACTGTTAATAATTGGGATTGCTATACATAATAATGGGGCAGGCATTCCCGGGCTGACAAATATAAGAGAAGGAGTTCATGTGGCACATCCCGGGCCTACTCAGCATGTATTTCCAGTATTATCATCTCCTGTCTCATGTGATCCTGAAATAGTCCCTGGGAATAGTGATCAACTGATCTTTTTTGCCAAGGCACCATCAGGGCATGATGAGGCTGTAGTGACTGGAACATCTTGCCTTTCACCATGAACTTGCTGTACTGTAGTCACCTGTTCCTGGTCCTGATTCTGGGGACAGAGCAGGGACAGATATGGGGGTGACAGTCTACTCCTTAAATGTGCAGAAGAGGCCACCTCAAAATAATATTGCTATCTCCAACTGGCCTACATGCTTCATATGCCATAATCTTAGAAAGCTGCAATGCAGTAAGTGGCCCACACTTTTTGAAAACATCTGATCCATATGCTAGGCCAAGTTAATACCCTCTCTACCCACTAGACCAGGGGTCTCCAAACTACGGCCCGGGGGCCGGATGCGGCCCGCGAGGCCCTCTCATCCGGCCCGTGGAGACCTTTTTGGATTCAAAGGCAGAAGAAGTGAGATTGTTTCAAAACCCATTTGAAGCAGATGTGGCCAGTTGCCCAGATGAACTGCAGCTGGAAGTCATTGAGTTGCAAGCAAATGACCTCCTTAGGGACAAGTTCAAAATAGGACTGGTGGGTTTTTACCAGTTTTTGCCCAAGGAAGACTTTCCTAATGTCAAAACTTTTGCATCAAGGTACCTTTCAATCTTTGGAACAACATACCTGTGTGAACAAACATTTTCAAGAATGAAATACGTGAAGAACAATTTGAGAACAAACTTGTCCGATGATAATCTCAGGTCACTGTTGATGTTAGGGACAACAAATCTAAAGCCAGAAATGTCTGCTATTTTGGCATCCAGGAAACAATTTCACCATTCACACTAATACAGGTGTTCATGTGTAGTGTATGAATGTGTTATTAAATAATAACTGAATAAAATAATATTAAATAAATAATTAAAAACAACATCCATGTTTTGATTGTTTTTTATTTGGACCTCAAGTGTGTAGTCGGCCCCCGAACTGCTGTTTGATAGTTAATGCGGCCCTCGGGCTGAAAAGTTTGGAGACCCCTGCACTAGACCATGGTATATCCTGGGTCAAGATCAAAATTCCCAAGTCATGGGGCCTAGCTAGGAATGGCTGTTGACTTTCCTGGGAGCTGAAAGGTGAAAGAAAGTCGTCATCCAAGAAAGATGAGGCCCACTCCTTGGGTGAAAGGGAAGCATGACAGGGTGCTGGAAACATTAAGGCAATTAGGTCCAGGAATCTGGATAGCATTAGGACAAATGCATCTCCAATAGCTAGAAGGACATCCACCCTAGAGATACAAGCCATGATCTGGGGTGACAAGATCTATAATTATATTAGAAGCAAGAGGAAGACAGAGGACAGGGTAGGCCCATAGCTCAGTGAGGAGGGAGAAACAGTAACAGGAATCTTGGAAATGGCAGAGATTCTTAATGACTTCTTTGTTTCAGTCTTCACCGAGAAATCTGATGAAGGAATGCCTAACATAGTGAATGCTAGTGGATAGGTTTAGAAGATAAAATAAAAAAAAGAACAACTTAAAAATCACTTAGAAAAGTTAGATGTCTGCAAGTCACCAGGGCCTGATGAAATGCATCCTAGAAAACTAAAGGAGCTGAAGAGGAGGTATTTGAGCCTTTAGCTATCATCTTTGGAAAATCATGGAAGACAGAAGAGATTCCAGAAGACTGGAAAAGGGCAAATATAGTGCCCATCTATAAAAAGGGAAATAAGAACAACCCAGGAAAATAAAGTCAGTTTAATGTCTGTGCCAGGAAAGATAATGGAACAAGTAATTAAGGAAATCATCTGCAAACAATTGGAAGATAATAAGGTAATAGGGAACAGCCAGCATCGATTTGTAAAGAACAAATCATGTCAAACCAATCTGATAGCTTTCTTTGATAGGATAACAAGTCTTGTGGATAAGGGAGAAGCGGTGGAAGTGGTATACCTAGACTTTAGTAAGGCATTTGATATGGTCTCACATGATATTCTTATCAATAAACTAGGCAAATACAACTTAGATGGGGCTACTATAAGGTGGGTGCATAACTGGCTGGATAACCATTCTCAGAGTAGTTGTTAATGGTTCACAATCCTGCTGGAAAGGT